ATATTCCTTACCTTCCTATTATTGCCTCATACAATAGATTTTGAAGATATATTATGAGAATAGAATGTGAAAGTCAAGTTAAATAATTTTAAGTGCTTTTAAAATTTCACATACAGGGTATCATTTAAAATGGGATTCACAAGTTAAGGGATGGTTGTTAAATTTCCAGATATGAAAATGATAATAGAATTATGTTTTTAAAAGGGTCTTTGTGGGGAAAATGGCTGATTCCAGATCTAGGGCAGGTGTACAAGATAAGCCTGGGACACCTTGTCAGTAAGGAATCCAACAAAGAAAACCCAGGTTGTGACAAAAGGTCTCACTAGACAGCTTGCAGAGGTCCCCACTGGCCAAAATGGGACACAACAGGAGTCGATACATAACTCAAAGGGTTGAAAATATCAACTATGCTCACGCCCATGAGCTTATAAATGATACTGCAAAAGTGATCACTTTTGGAAGATCCTAGAGAGGCAACTCATTTGTGTCCAAAACTGCTTAATAAAGAGGAGAAAATCAAGCGTGTCCTGCTTTTCCTATATGAACTGCTACATAATCAAATAGTTCACTAAGAGAAGTTTATTTGTCCAGGAGGATTCCAGCGAGTAAATGCAGAAGGAATGGTGAATACCGCCATCTGGTACTTTCCTAATGAATGAGCAGAGCTAGTCGATGATCCCTGCTGGTCACTCACGTCACCAAAGACAGACAATCACATGTCATGTGCCTGTGCGGTAATCTTGCCCCTTCCAAGAACAACAACAAAACAAAACACAAAACCTTATGGAGCTTCTAGATCTAATGACCAGATCACAGAAAATGCAAGGGGCAAATGAAGACAAGAGGAGGCAGCCTACAGAACAGTCCCAGGAGGTCACGTGTCTCATCCGCCAAAGCCAGCAGCCTCAGACCTGGGTGAGAGGAAGATGGCAGGCAAGCACGTTAAAGCGATTCTTCCAGAAGAGGGAGGATGGCAATGTTTCATTGAGCCGTGATGGATGAGTATAATTTTGTCAGGCAGATTGGAGCAGGAAGAGTGGTCTAAACAGAGCCTTGGGGAAGTAAAAAGATTGAAATATTTGAGAGGAGTGAGCACTGGAGTTTTCTCACCTCTAAGGCAAACATCCCTCACACATTCAACCCTCCTCACTTCTCCAAGGACACAGGGCCAGGGCCAGGGGGAAGAGGAGAGACGCGCAGGCGGCAACATTGAAGAAGCCCTGGGTCTCAGTGTCCACCCCGCACTTGCAGGAGCTGGGGCTGAGGGCTGCTTTCCATTTTGCACCCTGAGCACCTTTCTTGCCTGACCCTGGCCCCTGCCCAGGAAGGTATCTTCCTCTTTCACATCCCTGGACTCCAGAGGTGAAACCAGAACGGACTATAGAAAGGGCTGCCATCTTCCACGCTCTGGATGCTGTACTCTTGCTAATTCTGTCGGATCTCCTACTTCTAGTCTCCTAACACCTCCCTGCTCCATCCTGGGTCTGACTCCACCCCGATGCCCCCGCCACTTTCGCATAAGGGCTCTGTCAAGCTAGCACTGACCCATCCTGTCCTTGTCCAGTTGATGTCTTAGACTGGGAGCAAGCTTTACACTCAATCTGAAAGAACTTTCTCTTGTTTCTTTTAGCAACTCCTGCCATTGGCTATCATTATGTTTTAAATCCTTACTTATTACTTAGCATATTAGCTATTTTCTCAAGCCTTGTTTTCATTCATTCATTCATCAAATATTCCCAGAGTACCTGTTCTGAGTCAAGCCCTGTGCTGAAGACACAGAAATTCCCAGAGCACCTGTTCTGAGTCAAGCCCTGTGCTGAAGACACAGAAGTGAATGACCTGTCTCTGCCCTTGAGCATCAATGTCATAGTCCCAAGGAGGAAACAGGCAGGTAAACAGCTGCTGACAACCCAATGGGCTGAGTGTGATGGTAAAGAATGCCAGCGCTGAGCACACAGTGGGGCACATGAATGACCTATCTCTGCCCTTGCCGATGACAACCCAATGGGCTGAGTGTGATGGTAAAGAATGCCAGCGCTGAGCACACAGTGGGGCACCTACACCAGGCCACAGGGCCAGGGAAGGCTTCTGGAGGAGGTGACACAGGCGTTCAGACCAGAGAAGATGACCAGATATTGTGCATCATTGGGCCTGGTGCACGACGAGACTTCTATGTCTGCCTCCAGGTTGTTAATCAACACGGGGGCAGGGCCAAAGCTAAGCCTGTCACTACCGGGAACCATTTTCATCTGAGGGGGACGATCACCTTGATACCCAGGTGTGCTAAAAGGCTGCTGCTGGCTCATGGGGGCCTTTTGCGGTGAGAATGAGAGGAAGGCAGCCCCAGCAGCCTCAGCGCCTCCCCCTCTGCACCCGCCCCCAGTATGGTTTGGTGGGGGAAGCATGACCCAAATACAGCCAGAAGGGACCAGGAGATGTTAGGGTCAATGAGGCTTCTCTCCCTCCTTCAAGCACGCATATGGACGGCCTTTTACATTGAGGATGAGAGAGAGAGAGAGAGAGAGAGAGAGAGAGAGAAACTCACCGTTGCAAAGACAAAAAAGAGGCTGATATTCAGGGCCCCGGTCTTGGGAGTGTCAGTCAACAGATTTCTGTTCAGAACCTTTATAGTTCCTACTCCAAGAAACTTGCTGATGCTCGAACCCCCAACGAAACCAAGTGCTCAAGTTCTGGAGTCTATTAAGGAAACAGCGCCCCCTGCTGTCACTCCTGACAACAGGTGGACTTGCTTTAGTGCAGTGATTCTCAACCTTGGCTGCACATCAGAATCATCTGGGAATCTTTTGAAAATCCTGATTTCGGGGCCTCATCCTCCGGAAATTCTGTTTCTTTGTTATGGGGTGAGGCCACAACATTAGTCACAAAGAAACAGAATTTCCAGAGGATGAGGCCCAGAAATCAGGATTTTAAAAAGATTCCTAGGTGATTCTAATATGTGCAGCCAAAGTTCAGAACCACTGTCTTAGAGACTTCAAATTACTTGCCTAAGGTAGTACAGCTGGTTGGTGGAGGAGCTGGGGTTGGAACTCAGTTCTCCCTGATGCCAATACCCTACTTTTTGAGAGTTTATAGTGGCAGGAATGCTATTTTAAAAAAAAAAAGGTTTATTAAGGCCTAGGAAGGGATCAGGAAGATGGAATGAGCAACTCCACCCAAGGTAGGGCAGATAGTTTGCTAAAACAGTTGGTGATCTTTGCATTGTATCCATCATTTATTTTCTCAGCCATCCAAAGAGCCCCCCGTCCCCCCAAAAATGTCCATTGAGCACCTACTATGTGTTAGGCGTCTCACTGAAAACCAGGGAGATAGTGATGGACCAGCCAGTATGATACCTGCCTTCATGGAGCTTATAGTTGTGGGGATCAGGGATGTCTAGCATTAAACAATGGGATGCCCAGTGAACTCTCCAATTGGGCTCAGGTGCTAGGAAGAAAGAGGAACAGGTGTTTCAGGAATCCCAGCAGTGCCCTAAGACTGAGTCATGCTGCGAGGGCTGGCTGAGGAAGTCATGTTTGAGCCACCGTAGAAAGCTGGAGAGCAGAGGGCCTAATGGAGAGGAAGGAAAGGGGCACCAGGGACGAGGAAGAGCATATCTGAAGGTTCAAGGTAGGAAGCAGGTGGGAGCAGGAATGTTGTGAAAAAGAGAGATGGGAGGAAGGGGAGGCTGGGAGGAAGGGGAGGCTGGGGAGGAAAGGGAGGCTTGGAAGGAGGAGAGTGAGGCTTGGAGGAGGGTGAGCCTGGGGAGGAGGGGGAGGCTGGGGAGGAAAGGGAGGCTGGTGAGGAGGAGGGTGAAGCTTCGTAGGGGTCCCAGGAGGTCAAGGCAAGGGAAGGGTTGGGAAGTTCAGCCGAGCAGGGCTTCTCAAACCCACTGTGGGAAGCATACCTCTGTTTTTGTTTCTCTGCTCCCTCACACACCAATGCTTCTGTAAAATGCAATCAAAATTAAAAAGCAAAGTTACACAAAACAATAACACAAACTTATTACAAGATTCAACAGACATGAATTCCTCTGTTGAATTGCTGCTTTTATGCTTATCTCATGGAGGACCTGTGACAGTTTGCAGACTGGCACCTGCCAAAGACCACCCTTTGAGAAGCACTGCCTAGTGCCCCGGGGAGCCGTTGTCCCTGCATCTGGAAGACATAAGCTGCATCCAGCCAGGGGACACGGAGAAAACAGGAGAGGAGGACATGGAGGGCAGGCAGAGCCACACACAGCAGCCTGAGGTGTGTGGGGAAGGGCAGGTTAGTGGGTAGATGGGCTGGAGAGGTGAGAGGCGGGGCTGGCCCAGGGCTCAGGCCGGAGGGCTTGCTCAGCTACAATGAAGAACTGAGAAATGAGCCACAGGAACTGCACAGCATTGCACAAGCATTGCCAGGGTCATTGCTTTCTTCTGAGAACAGCAAAGCAGCCAGGGCCAGTTCCACCGCATGAATTGTCCTGTCCTTTTTCGCTCCTTTGATTGCCAACCTCAGCACAGTCCCTTCCAAAAAAAAGAAAAAGAAATTGGCTTTTGATTAGATCAATACTTAAGTCAAAGGCAGCCACCTACTAGTATAATTGGATTAGAAAGCTCAGAAATGCAATCACCGAAGAACTTTAATCAGTAGGCGTGCCCTAGACTTGCTAGTAACTGTTAGACTCAAGCGCAGGCATTTAAGAAAATTTAAGAAAGTGGTTCTCAGCCTTGGCTGCACATTAGAATCACCTGGGAATCTTTTTAAAATCCTGATTTCTGGGCCTCATCCTCCAGAAATTCTGTTTCTTTGTGACTAATGTTGTGGCCTCACCCCATAACAAAGAAACAGAATTTCCGGAGGATGAGGCCCAGAAATCAGGATTTTAAAAAGATTCCCACGTGATTCTAATGTGCAGCCAAGGTTGAGAACCACTGATTTAGGAAATATGCACTGTATCATCCCGAGCACAGGAGGAGCTCCTCCGGGGTAAAGACTAAAATCCTAAGTGTGATAGAAACGCCTTCATTTCCCAGCCCTGGGTCCACATGCTCCTCACAGGCTCTCCACAAATGAGGAAACTGAGGCAGTTACAGGGCACCTGAATTCACACCGTGAGTGAGCAGGTGCTGGATTCCAACCCGGACCTGTCCGGGCCCAGAGCCTGAACCTCTGTCCACTAATTCACATGCCCACTGCCCCCACCCCCGCCCCCAGCTCCAGCCACACTGCCCGCTGGTGACCTGGAGACCAGGGACCTGGTGGGGGAGGTGGGTGGTTAGAGAGCCCCAGGCAGGACTGGGAGGCCTGGTGGAGAAATAGTTCATCTCACTCACAAAGTGTCCTCGGCTAGTCCTCCAGGGGATCCAAAAGCAATGACAAACAAGTCTTGTAAATGTTTGGTTAGAGTACAAATAGAAAACAACCTAAGTGGGCAATTTGAGGAGGACTTGTTAAAGAGACCGTGCACAAAGCTGTGGGCAAGATTGGATGGAAAAGAAACCACCCTTTCTAGCCCTAGTCTCCTGGGGCCAGGGGACAGAGCAGTCGATAGAACTGGAACAAGAGGTCATTGGAGAGGCTGTGACCTCTGGAGGAGATACCGCCAAGCTCAGGAGCCCAGTGCAGGGGAGCAGGTATAAATAGGCCCCAACATCAGAAATGTCTTTCTGAGGAAGCTTTTCGAGGCTTCTTCTAGGTGAGGTTCCCCGGATATGAAGCTTGATGAAGCCAAGCTAGGGAGAGGAGATGCCTGCAACAGAGCAGGGTGGCTCAGGACTCCATAGTAACCCCCAATTAAGCAGCTTTGCAGACAGCCGGGACTCGCCCAGTGAGGAGGGGCCATTGGTGATGCCAGACCAGCTCAGAGCAAACAAACTCTCTCCCATCTCCCTGCCAGGCTGGAGCGAGGTATTCTCTGGACCGTGAGAGACGACCCTTGGCAAGACACTCAGTGTTTCCAGGCCTCTGTCTCCTCCTAAAGAGAGGGCATTGCGCTTCATGGGGTTTAGGCACCAGGCACTGCTGTGTAGAAGCAGCCACAGGTGTTGCAGCCAAGCAGCTGTGAGCTCTAGTCCCGCTGAACTGCAGTTGCCTGGATGACCTTGGCCCACCACATCTCTGCTCTCAGCTTCCCTATCTGGCAAATGGGGATGATACACTCGACCCAGGCCAATCATGACATTTAAACAATGTACGTAATCTCTAGCACTCTGTGCTCCATATATACCTGTTCCTGTCCTTCAAGGCATCCTATATAATAAAAGGCTAATATGCAAATTGACCAAACAGCCAGTTGCTATGATGTGCACTGACCATCAGGGGGCAGACACTTAATGCAGGAGCTGCCCCCTAGTGGTCAGTGCACTCCCACAGGGGGAGCACTGTTCAGCCAGAAGCCAGGTTCACAGCTGGCGAGTGCAGCAGCGGTGGTGGGAGAGCGGCAGCGCTAAGGATGTCCAACATCCCCCGAGGGCTCCCAGACGGTGAGAGGGCACAGGCCGGGCTGAGGACTCTCCTCACCCCGAATGCATGAATTTCGTGCACTGGGCCTCTAGTTACAGGATAAGGGTCCAGAGAACAGGCTCTGAGGTATTCACATCATGAACGTGAAACCAGCTGTACTGCTTTCTGCTCAGGGACTTGGGCAAATCATTCAGTCTCTAAGCTTCCGCATGCTCATCTATACAACCGTAAAGGAAGGAAAAATGCTGCCTGTCCCTACAGGATTGCTGTCAGGATCCAATGAAATAAAGCATATTAAGCACTTCGAATGCCTTCCCACACCCCAACCCTCAGCCCTTCAGCTATAATATTCTGCAGCTGTCCATAGCATTACAAAGCTTTCCAGAATGTTCTCTGTGAGATTTTTCTCAGTACTCTTAGCTCAAAAAAGTTCCATGGGGTTGGTTCAATATGGTGGTGTCAGAATTGTCACTCTGATAGGATTGGACCCATTAAGCCTGAAAACTAGCCTTGCATTGCCCTGGGGGACTTGCACCCAAGGTGGTAGCCTGTGTGCCCAGCACAGACAGCGAGCAGAGCCCCGGGAGGCCCCCAGCCGAAGCAGTGCTGCCCCCAACCCTTAGCAGGTCAATTTATTGCCCTAACTGCCTTTTCAGCCCCTGGTGAGTCTTGGTATGAAGCACAAGAAATTGGAAGGGAGCTGCTAATTTAAATGAATAGCTTTGGCAGAAGATGCCCCCTGAAGGGCTCTGAGAGAGAGAATGAAGGCTCCTGTTTAGAGCTGGAGTCCGGATGGTTGTTTGTGGTGCTCTGGGGCCAAGCGTTGCTATAGCAACAAATGACTTAGAACAGACTGCTTGAGTTTACATAACAGGGATTACTTGGGCACTTGCTGGAAGGGTTCACAAAAGAACTCTTTTCTCCCCTTTTCTTAAATCTAAGGATATTTGAAGAACAATCCTTTGTTGAAAGCTGTATGATGGTGGTTGAGGGGAGAGATAGGAGAGCTTCGTGCATAAATGTTATATTACAGGTGATCACGGGTGATTATTTGTTGTTGTTCTTTTTGGGTGCTTTTGTTGAGTCTTCCACGGTGGTTTTGGCTTTGTAACCAGGAAAATTTTATGTTAAAAATAATAAATCGAATATGATAAGATTTAAGCCTGGAAATGTTAGAAAGTGCAAGATCAACACTAGAGACAGCGTTTGCAGCCTCAAAGAAGGTTGGGCCTGGGCCTGGTGAAAGAATGGCCCATCAGGGCTTTGCAACACCACTGTCCCTGGCATTTCCTGGCTTTGAGGATGGGCAAGCACCCCAGGGTGAGTGAGTGACACCTGGCTGGTTGCCATCTGAGCATCTGAACCTGGTCTGTCCTGGGGATGAGGTCAGGGAGCCCCACCGCTGCCCACTCCCTTATCCCATCACCACGTCATTCTGCAGCACATCTGGGGCGAGTCTCCTAAGCGCAAAACCAGGCTTCTCCATGGAAAGTAGCCATCGGCAATAACAGAACAAGTAGTTAACGTGGGATGTGAGGGTTTCTCCCGGGGAGTCATGACTTTGGAGGCAATAAGAGTTGAGAGATGGCCCCATGCTGTGCAAATATTTACTTTTGTATCCTGAATTTGATCACTCATGAAGGTCTTGATAGGGGCAGAAATAGAATGTTGGGGAGCAGCTATAATTGTAAGAAATATTAATCATGCTCTGTTAACCATGATTATTTAGTTCTGATTAAAGAAGGCACATTCTAACCTGGCTGGGAGTTGCACGTGGGACCTGGGAGCTCACCTGGAGATGCAGCCCATCCTCCCCATCCGGGAGCTGCCTATTAGCATGGAGAGATTAATAGCTTTGTTGCAAAAACTAGAGCCACCAGGCCTTTGAAGGCCCCCCTTTGCATATCCACAGGCCATTGCAAATCTCCAGCCTGCATTACCTGGAAAGTGCCCATTTGGTATAGCTTTTGCCTACTTACCCATGTAATCTTTGTCCTTCTACCCAATGTAAGCAGCTGGCTTATGGTGGGGGGCAGAGCAGATTTTTGTAGGTGACCTGCTGCTCTCCCATGCCGCCGGCAGGACTGGAGTAAATGCGCATATGATTCTGTCTCTGATGAATTGGCTCAAGTAGTGACAGGCAGCGCAGACCCATTGATTGTCTGGTTACAGTCTGAGGATCTATTTCTCTAAGATGCTTCTTTCCAGTGATCTGTATATTAGTCAGCATGCATCTTATGGAGCTCCTCTGTATATGAGGCATTTGTTTTAAGGATCTCATAGTTGTGCAGTAAATACTTAACACATTGCAGGCGGATCACGGGCATTCTCGTGTTTTCGTATTACACAGTGTTTTACATAAATCTTAAAGGCACGCCTTAACATTAAATACCCATTGCATTTTGAAGTTATTTATTACATGTTCATACAAGCTAATATCTTTTTAAAGGATGGCACTTTGTAAAACGTTTTTTGTACTCATTCAATAGAAACTTACCTGGCCACTGGGTAGAGCTAGCAATAAAACTGCTGGTGCGCAATGTGTGAAGCAACTATCATATGGCATCCTATGTTCATGAACAATGTAATGGTGAAGGGTAACAGAATGTGCCATCCGAAAATATGCCTTTTTGGCACAAGAATCATTTTGAGCTGATTATTTTTTGAGCAGCTGTGGACACAGGAGAAGCCATGAAAGCAGCGGAGGTTACCCTTTTGTAGGGACATTTACATACAGAATGGAAGTCTCCATTTGCAAGCATCTCCGTCTCTGTATCCAGAAGAGGCACTGCCTTCAATCTGCACAGCAAACCTTGTCCTTGTTTACTGTGCTTTCCTGTCACCCCCTTCACTGGCCTTCTCTCACCTCAACTCCCCAACATCTTTCTTTTGTCCTCAGTTTAGTGGAAGGCGGTATTTAAGCAGGGGGCTTGGGCCATCTTGGGGGATGACTCCGTTTCTTGGGTATCTCCATGTATACATGAGGTGCCCATGTTGTGAAAAACAAGACAACAGGCCCAAAATGGAGTCACTTATGCTAAGCCTCATGTCACCAAATCAAGACTTAATTACAGTTTGGCTATCCCAGAAGTGGAATCTTAAACCAGCCAGGAATCACCTGATCCTGATCAGCACTAGTTGGGTGATCTGCCCGGTAGACCCCCGCCAACCCCTAAAGCAAAGTAACTTTGCAATAATCAGCCCCTCTCCCGCTTCCAGCATGGCTTCCTTGTTCCCGGTTCTGCCTGTGGGTCTTTCACTTTGCACAGCTCTTCAGAGCTCCTTTCTGTCCCTAGATTGGATGCTGCCGACTCATGAATCATTGAATACAGCCAACAAAATCTCTAAAATGTATTCAGTTTTATTTCTTAACAACGTTAATAGACTTGTGGTTTTTCTTCTGTTATCTGTCTGATCACTGGGATCTCAGCCCATCATTTAGAAGAATAGAGGGGAAATTATGTTTCCCCTCCTCTCCTGGCTAAAAACCACAGGCTCTGTTCAGATTTGCATCTGAATCCAGTTCTGCAAACAACCAGCTGTGTGCCCGTGAGCCATGTGTAATCAAAGTGAGCAGTGCAGTCCATGCACATGTGACCCCAGAGTCCTGGGCTCCTTACTTCAAACAGATGGACTGGAATGGAAGGGCTTGGTGTTTTGTGGGGTGTCCTCAGGCACCTCTGCTCTGTCTGGGCATCTGTCTGGCTCGGATGTGGTTCAGACTGTGCAGAGTTCTCCCCACAGCCCCTGCGCCCCAGAACCCAGGCTTCGGGACACTGTTTGCTGCGGGTCTCCTACCTGTCTCCTCTTTAATTTTGTCAGAGCCATGAATGGAGTGGGAAGCAGATCCCATGTATTAATTCCATTCCTACTCTGCGCTAATAATAATTAATAATAATAATAATAATCAACTCTGTTGAAAGCTGCCTTAGGGAACATCTGTCAGCTCTTCAGGGACCCTCAGGGAGACAACTTCCACTTTCCTTTCTCCAAAATAAAACACAGGAGGAGGAGCTGTAAGTGACAGGAACGTTGAGACCACAAAGGAATTCCCACCCCATCCACAGCCGTGGCCAGCCACATCCCATTGACCCTCTTTTCTACCCAAACGGGGAACTGATACGGGAATGTGCCAGGCCCTTTGCACAGATAATCAGATGTAATCTCCACATCAGCCCTTTTGGGTAAAAATGTAAATTATCCTCATTTTACCCCTGCGGACACTGACTACTCAGAGAGAATAGGTAACTCTGTGATTTAAATCCAGAGCCATGGGATCCCAAAGCCTGTAACTACTAGAAACTTCTAGATCCTTTTGGAAAGCATTCCAGCAAAAATTCCAAAACTGTGGTCCTGGGGAAGGGAGAGTGAGGCCAGTGAGACTGTTGTTGAACACAGACTGCCCTGCAGCCGGCTCCTGCGGTAGAAGACTGGGGGAAGTTTCTTATTCACGGAACACGTGTTCCCTGGCTCCCACTCTGAGCCGGCACCCGACTCAGTATGGACAACAGGGGCAGATATGGCCCAGGCCCCAACAGCCACCAGCATTCCCATCTCCCACCTGCTTAAGAGCACCTACTGGCTTCCCACAGGGCTCAGGAGACGCCAGCAGCCTCAACACGGGCTCCTTGGCCCCGGCATGCCCCCTCCTCAGCCTCGTCTTGCCCTGGGCTCCCCGTCACTCCCTGCAGTGCAGCCTGGCTGGACATCCTTTCAAGCCTCCCGCCTGCCAGGCTGTCCCTGACACAGGGCCTTTGAACACACTGTTCCCTCTGCCTGGAAGGCTCTTCTCTCCTGATCTCAACAGAAAGTCCCTTCCTCAGGGAAGCCCTCCCTACAAGTTGCCCCACCAAGTCACATGCCCCGCCGTGACATATCTCCGTCCTGGACACTGCCTCATGAATCTGTCACTTAACATGTATTTGTGCCGCTTATGGGCTCCCGTCCACCTCCTCCCCAAGACCGTGAACTCCCCGACAGCGAGAGGCCCGTCGGATGGGCTCCCCACTATCTGCCTTAGACACAGTGACTGACAGAAGGGAAAATCCAGAAAGATTTGTTGCATGAATAAATGTATGCACTCAGTCAGTTTAAGAACTGTGAGTTCCATTTCCTTCGCCTGGGGCTTCTTATGAATACAAAGCTCAAGAAATTTGCTTTTGTTCTGTGGTTATTCCAATGAAATAAATGATTTGTCAGGGTCCTCAACGGTGCAGACTTTTAGAAGCTTGCCCTGTGTGAGAAATGGCCGGCAGAGGGCCCCCCAAGAGCAAGTATTGAAGTCAGGTCAGCAAAAATGGGAGCTGCTTGGAGAACGCAGGCCTGTCCCCACATCTGTCTGTCTCCGAGTCACTCAGAGAGAATACCGCCAGCCAGCGGACTGCATAATGCAGTGAGGCTCTGGCCCGCCAGGCACAGGAATTCACAGGGCAGGAGCTCAGAGCCCCTGCGTAGATGACTTTACCACAAATCCACTGCTTGCTCCTTGATTCGTCCGTTTTACGCTGAAGAATTTGTAATCAAGAGCTCGCACTGTTGGGGAGAATCATGCATAGTGTTGGGGGAGATCTGTGTTCTTTGGGGGCCACTTTCCACTTGCCAGTCAGTAGTTTTATTTCCATTTTAATTTCAGAGCATCTGCCCCTCAGCAATTCCAAGCCTGTGGTTTGGAATTCATGGCTCTGCTGCGTGTTTGCGCTGGCTTGTAATTGACAAATTTAAATTCTGGTCATATTTCACTTATTACACAGACCCGGGGAAAAGTCCTCGGTGAAAACCTAATTACAGAGAAAGTGCCACGAGGTAATTGCTGTGGAAGAACTCCTGCAGGGGCAGGGCCGAATATTCCATCCGCCTGTAAAATGATTATGCTGACAAGATTCTGAAAAATAATAAAATCTGTTTAATAAAAAAGCAGCAAAATATCCGTGTTTTTACACACAAAGTATTAAAACATCCTTCATTTTGGACAGATCCTGAGTCATTTGATTTTTATTCAAATGATGATCCTTCTTTTTTTTTTTTTTTAAATCGGGGACCAGAGTTTCCTAATCTGGCCCACAAGGCACAGGCTGCGTTGAAGCTTGCAGGCTTGACGCAGCTTCTAGAACAGCTGTAAGTCTGCATTCTGCTTAGACAGCGTGGGGCGGGCGCTCCCTCCTTCGGGGGCTTGGAAGCCAGGAAGGTGTTGCTTCTGCTGTCAGGGCTTTGCTGAGATGCCAGCAGAGTGGCAGGCACTCATACACACCTCGGTTCCTATGGCTCTCCAGGATGCCACCACAACAGGCCAGCTCATCCAGTCATAAGGTTTATTGAGCACATACTATGCGCACATGAAAAGGCTAAAGACCTAAGTTAGGAAGAACTTGACACTGGGATGTCCATCTCCTTCCTCCCACCTCCAAGAATCAAGCAGACATTAAGTGTGTTTGCTGCTGTGCTGGGGGGTTGGAGTGGGGAGGTACTTTCCTCTCTTAAATGAACATTATGTGAATCTGATCTATGCTTGAAAATATATATAGTATATTATATATAACACGTATATTATATATGTATACTAGAGGCCCGGTGCACGAAATTCATGCACAGGTAGGGTCTCTAGGCCTGGCCGTCAATCAGGGCTGATCAGGGCCTTCTGGCTGCCAGCTGGGCCTCCCTTCATTCCACGCTGCCCCCTGGTGGTCAGCACACGCCATAGAGAGTGATCGAACTCCCGGTCTCCCAGTCGAACTCCTGAGGGGACTCTTTCCATATTAGCCTTTTATATATATATATAAATACTTTTTTAAAATGACTAAATTCTGACATTAGTAGTCATTTAGATAAGTTTCCACTACGGTCACGCAGTTGAGACTTGTAGAAGCTGTGAGTCAGTACTGTGTTCCTCAGAGGATGGCCCGCAGTCCGCGGAGGGTAAAATGGAAGGAGGGGGAATTTAAAATGCGGATTCAAAGAGCTGCTCCTTAAATGCACCAAATCAGAGTCATCACACTGCGCCCCAGGATCTGCATCTTTCCAAACTCCTAAGAAATTGTGCACTGTAAAGTTTGAGAATCCCTGCTTTAAAGCAATTGATGTTGCACCACCCTGAGAAATGCCCCCCTTCCCCCCTCCCCCTGAGAGATTAAAGTAGAGAGAAGAGGGCCGGGACTAAAGTTACATACAGCTAGGCTAAATAAATAAACGCAAAGAAACAACATCACCCATCCATCTCGCTACCCAGAGATAGTCATTGCTAACATTTTGGTGAATGGTTTCCCAAACTTGCTTTTGTGCACACAAACTTTTTTTTCACCCCAAAAGGTGAGCACAGGCTTATATTCCATTGTGATTGACTTCATGCACGTACTATGTTTTTTCCTAAAGATGCTCATTTTTCATTGCATGGCTGGCTGATGAGGGTAAGGCATGGGAATGAGGGGCAATGTCCAGAGGGAGAAACGCCTGATCAGGATCCATGTCTTTAATAAACAGGGCAAGTAGTGTTGGGGGTGGAGGGTTGACATGTTGGAATTAGAAACATATTTTATTTGGGGACAGAAGGTGTTCTCCGATTGGTGGATCTCTGGCAATAAACACAGTTTGTGTCATGAATAGGCCCGGCTGGCTGAAGGCATATTCTGAAAAGCCAGGTGTGAACAGTATTCAGACAAACAGGCATAGCAAGCCACTGTCCAAAGTAGCACCATCCGGAATATCATCTGCTTTTGTCCATCTGTCTTCTCAAAGTCGTCGCTTCTTTCCTGCATTCCAGGGACGCCGAGGAAGGAGGGAGCCGCATTCTGGTGCAGTAAGTGTGTGTATCTTATTATTTTAGACATCAAGTTTGAAAACATCAATATTCTCTTGGCTTCTGTACCTCCTGAATCTACAAGCCTTCGGACTGTTTGCGTGTCTTTTCATGGTTAAAGTGTTTGGGTAATAGCGTTCGTTACCAGATTTGGCAAGTCAAAGTACAAGAGGATTCCAGGTTAAATTTAAATCGTAGACAAATACATTTTTAATAGAGGTCTGCGCCATACAATATTGAGGACATACTTATGGAAAAAAAAAATTATCTGTTGTTTACCTGAAATTCAGATTGAACTGGATGTCCTGTGTTTTATCTGGCAACTCTATTGGGTAACTTCCTAGTTTGGAGGGAAATATTGGCACAGAACTGTAATTTCTTTCCCCTCCCCCAGCCTTATTGAGATATAATTGACTTATCAGGTTGGGTAAGTTTAAGGTATAAATGTGATGTTGTGATATGCGTATACGTTGTGAAATGTGAACCACAATAAGATTAGTTAACACATCCTTGGCTTCACACGATTACCATCTTGTTGTTGTCATTGTTATGGAGAGAGAACATGAAGCTCTGCTCTCCCAGCAACTTTCACGTATACGAAACAGTATTAGCTCTAGTCGCCAGGCTGTATACTAGACTCTGGAACTTGCTCATCTATACTAATAAAAGGGTAATATGCTAATTAGATGAGGAGACCTTCCAGATTTCCTTCCAGACAAAGCCATGGTGGCGGGTCCGAGGCAGAGGCGGTTAAGGGCGATCAGGCCAGGAGGGGAGGGCAGTTGGGGGTGATCAAGCTGGTGGGGGGTAAGTTTGGGGCGAACAGGCCAGCAGGGGGGGCAGTTGGAGGCGAGCAGGCTGGCAGGCAGAGTGGTTAGGGGCGATCAAGCAGGCTGGCAGGTGAGCAGTTAGGAGCCAGCGGGCCCGGATTGCGAGAGGGATGTACAACTGCCGGTTTAGGCCCGATTCCTGTGGGACATCCGGCAGTTGGACATCCCCCAAGGGGTCCCAGATTGGAGAGGGTGCAGGCTTGGCTTAGGGACCCCCCCCCCCCTGCACAAATTTCATGCACTGGCCACTAATCTGATCATTGAAAGTTTGTACTCCCTGACCAACATCTCCCCATTTCCTCGCACTCTATGTTTCTATGAGTTCAATGTTTTTAGATTTCACACATACAGTATTTGTCTTTCTCTGACTTGTGTCACTTAACATAATGCCCTCAAGGTCGCAAATGTCACAAATGGCAGGATTATCTTCTTTTGTGCAGTCTCTTAATTAGAAGTGAAAACATTTTTGTTAACACAGCGAGCAATTTGGGTTTTCATTAATTACATCTTCCTATAGTTCAGAAGTGTTTCTTCTGGAGAAAAAAAGAAAATGACTCTACCCAGTGTAACATCAGCTATTTGCAGAAGACAGTGGGCAGGGGACCCAACTTTCATGGCAGAAGTCACGTGCCTTCTCGCTTCCTGTGCGTGATTGGCTGGGGGGAAAGCATTGCTCTGGCACATGGGAATTTCCTGGGTCTTTCCAACACCGGCCGTGCTCTTTAGGTAATGATCCAAGGACATGCTCCTTGCCTGCCAAGTCTGGGTACACGAGGGTTGTGCAAAGCAATATTCAGATGCTCCAGCAGGAAGCCAGTCCCTAGGCACAGAGACCAGCACTGTCACTTGGTGAGGGGCAGGGAGAGGATGGGAATGGGAGCTCTGAGAGCGAGTGGAAGAGTGAGATAATTTACCCAATTGGTTTTCCTGGAAATGAAGACTTTATGTCCAGAATTAGTAATAAAACTAACTGAGGCACTCACACCCAGTTCCATAAAATGCTTAATCACCTTGTTGTTCTGTAACAGCTTTTCTCTTAATGGGGAAATTTACCGGCTTTTTAATTTCCTTTATTTGATTAACACGAGAATCCACAGCTACAACCTGTGTTGGGCTCCAGCAAAGTGTTGTATTTGCAAACGTATTAAAAGAGATAGATTTGTTTTAAGGGCCTCATCTGTAACAGTCTCAAGCCTTAAGTAGCCGATCATGCTTTTAAAGTTTTACTTTCTTATGGAGTAAAAAAAAAAAAGGGAATCTATAATTACTTAAGGAGGATGAACACCACAATAAGTAGTCATCATGGCTCCAAGACATTTCTATGAAGGAAAATACTGTACATTATTACAATCTATGTTTTTCTGAGTTCAGATCTCCCCCTCCCCATTTATAATGTTTATTCAAAATAAACACAATGTTTATCCTTCTTTTAAAAATAGTTTAATGATGATTTTTCCCAAATTACTGTGGTTTGAATCTACTCACAAGAAGCAATCAGCACTCTGGCTGTGTGACAGGTCTTCAGATTCTATCTCAAGTCCTGTGAGCAGAAGCTGGAAGGCGGGTGGTTGAGCCCAGGCAGGCCTGGCAAACACTTGCGAGTGGGTTCAAGGTGATGGGGAAGATGAGGCTCCAGAGACAGCACCTCCTACTCAGCCCAGCCCCCCTCATCCCCGACTTTCAGGATCCTCAGTCCTAATGCTGTCTCCACCGACCTACTTTTGTTCACCCTAGGTCTCTTAAAGGCCTCACTTTCTTCTGCTCTTACCCATGGGGCGTTTCCCACAGCACATCTAGAACCCTGCAGATCTGAGGCGAAGTGTTAACTAGCCTGCATCAGTATAAGGGGAATTAAAAAAATGACACATCCAGTAAGATTTCTGTTAAGCTTGTCTTATTTCGAAATTAACCTGAGACCCTTGAGTCCGCAGGCCGACCTATCCTATTCGCTGAGCCAAACCGGTTAGGGCTTGAGGTGAAGTTTTAACTAGCCTGCATCAGTATAAGGGGAATTAAAAAAATGACGCACCCAGTAAGATTTCTGTTAAGCTTGTCTTATTTCGAAATTATTGTGACCTTCCTTCTTTTTCCTTCTTCCTTCCTTTTTGATGCTAAGTTATCCCTGCGTTTAGGAAAGAGTGATGGCAGTTATTTTTGTTTCGTTAATGTCTCTGGTTCAGAAAACAAATGTTGCTCCCCCAAGGTTGGTCACTCCGTGTTTGTGTGCCGTGTGCACATCAGTACCTGTGTGTTCAAGCCAGTGATCTGCGAGGCCCCGGAGCCGTGATGTAGTTGTTAGCTGTCTCAGGAGACTATCCTGTTCCGGGAGACAGCCTGGCGCAGAGAAAAGAAGGCTTTGGAGTCGCAGAGACAGGATCTGCTTCTTATGCCCCTGGGCAAGCACTACGCTCTCTGAGCTCCAGCCGCCTTTTCCAGGTCACTGGGGTGATAACAGCTACCTCAGAGAGCTGTCAGAAGATGAAAGCTTCTAACATAATGCAGGATATACAGGGAGTGCTCAAAGAATGCGTGTTTTCTGGCCTCCTGTGCCTCCTTTTTTCTCCCTTACTTAGGACTTGAAGATTAGATGGAAAGCGCTCAGCATGCATGTCAGAAGTAAGAAAATGCTGGAGTCTGACACTAGCAGGTGTCCACAGGTACAATGTTAAGTGAGGGAAGCATTGGAAGAGAGCCTGGCATTGAACTGCAGAACTGGGTAGGGTTGGTTCCAGAAGACTCCCTCCAGGACTGAGCTAAGTTTTGAAAGGCATCCATAGCACATGGAGAATGAAGGAGTCTTTGGAAGGGATGGGATACTGAAGAGCATCTGATCTTAGGTTCTGCAAAGCGTGGCACCTATCCCACTGGGATCCAAGTGATGTATCTGATACAGAGGCACTAAAAGTCATGTAACTACACAAGGAGAGTTATTCCCCGTCCAAGTCTTATCATCCTGAAACATTAAGAAGAAAGTCTCCGTTTGTGCCAGGCTACCTTTAAGACTTCTTCTATAACACGCAGTATGAACCTATTTTAACAAAGAAAATCGGGCTGCAGGAACATATTCTTGCCATCAGGAGGCAAGAATAGCTAGATGATTAAAAATAATGTTTCCTTTTCACTGTCTTTATTTTTCCTATTACCTTCTGTTTATATTTTCTTCCATTTACAACGGTGATATCAAGCTTTTCAAGTAGACTTAAATTTTAAAGGGAAGCAAATTTAAAATATGAAGGTAATAATGAAATAGCTGGTATATAGCAGCCCTATAATGAGTGACATTTAGGAAACACTGATCTAGCCCATCCCTTTCTAAAGAAAGCAGATGAGGAAACGGGCTCAGAGAAACGAAGGTACTCCTTTCCAAGATTACATGGCTGGCGGACCTGAGACTGAAGCTCAATTCTCTTGTACCTCTCCTCGCCTATCTGACAACAAATTCTGTGTTAAATCGAAGGCAACGGGATACAAATTAAACAACAGACTGTGTGCTGTGGGTTATGAGGAAGGGATTGGTTGATGAGGCTGGTGTGTGTTACTGGTGAGACTTACAGAAGACAAAGATGTGTATAGAAGCTGATACTGCAGGTCTGAGCTCATCGTCAAGTCGAAGGCATGTCATGCGGGCACCAAGCAAAGTCTCTGAGTCAGCCCCAAAGGTGGTGGTGGCAGAGACTCCTCTTGGAATCCAGCAAAGATGGCTGGAATCCCAACGTCTCTATTTGGCAAGAAACCAGTGAACATCTCTCAGCTCATCTGTGCTCTTTCCTCATCCATAAAAATTTATAGGAATGACAATAGCTCACATTTATTGGGCACATCATCCGCCAAGCCCCGTTGATGCATTCTCTCTCTTAACCCTCAAAAGACCACTAGAAGGCAGTTACTATCTGCATATGACAGATGAGGACATTTGGACGCTGAATGATTAAAGCGCTTCCCAGCCTCTTTATCAAGTGATGGAGCAGGATTCAAACCCCAGCACTTTCAGTCCAGAGTCTGGCCTTAACCACCCTCCTATGCTGTGAATATTAAATGCAGACGAGGCCTGTAAAGCACCTAGCACAGCGCAGGGCACATAGAAGGGAGGGGAGGTCAGCACCTTCCTGCCCGCCCTTTCTGTGTGCACCACAGCGCCGGCCACTTTCAGCCTGGCCTCTAGAACTGTCTCCATGGGGGCCTTGCCTGGGACTACAACTCCCAGAATGCATCAGGCAGAGAAGCTGGCCAATCAGGAAGCCCTCTCCCTTTTAGGGCCGCTCGCCCCACCCCTCTAGGGGTCAGAGCTGCAGTGACCCTGGGCCTGGTGGGTTGTGAGGTGCAGCAGGTTGCGGGCAGGTGCGGGTTCCTGGGTTTAGGTCATCCTAATCCGGTTTGGGGCCGGGGCGGTGGAGACTGTTGCAATGTCCAGGCTACTAGGGTCCATCTTCAGTGCCAGAGCTAGTGGGCATGGCGGCCGGAGCCCCTGGTGGGGGGTTGCGTGGGGCGGGGTGGTTGGCGGGCCAGTCCAGCAGGGCCAGGGGTCATCCGCAGGGTCACATGAGGGCGGTTCACGTGGTCCCTGTTGTCCCCACCGGTTTGCCTAGGGCTCCGTTTTCAGACCCCGGGAAAGGTTGGACGGCCCCCCAAAGCCCGGGGCTCCTCGCGGGTGTGAGTTGGGCCGAGGAGGAGGGGGTGGTGGTTAGAACGCGGGTGCGGGCCTGGGTGCGTCTGCCTCTGGCCACCGGTCGGTGCCTGCGTGCAGGTGTCTGAGCTTCGCAGCACGCTCCTCCGCCCGAGCCCGGTCTCCACCTCCCGTGTCCTGGGGAGACTGCCCACAATGTCCCGTGAAGTGGGGTCTTGCCGCAG